TCGTACTTTCCCCTTCGTCCTCACACGATTGTTCCACAGATTGATTTTTCTCGATGTAACATTTATCGTTATTCTGTTTCTCTTTAACTAAAATATCGTCCGTTTTTTCAGAAAATGTATTTGAACATTTTGCACCATAACTTTCATCTTCAGTATTTAATGCCACGTTTTCAGCGATTTTTTCGAGAGAATTAACTCGAGTACTTGTACTGTGTTCGCCGATTTCTACTTTTTTGTGCAAGCTATCTTTACATTGCGTTATATCAGGTATAGATGTTTTCGAATTATAATAACTTATCGTATCCATATCAGATATTCTAGTTTGTCGCTTGAAGGTTTTCCTTCTCTGTGATAAAATGGATTCACTGCCATTAGTTTGAACAAAACTATCGCTGTGTCTTCGTCCTTGCGCTATCGATAAATTCACCCCAACTTTCACATCACAAGACCCATCGCTAGCTCTTCGAATATCGGGTAAATTTTGTGAATTTGTATTGACAGAATTTTCTGTTTTAAGATGAATATTTTCATCTAAACATGTATTTTGTTTATTGGAATTCTCTTTACATGTTTCCAGTGGAAAATTAATCTCGGTATCAGAAAATTCTGTGCTATCGTCGAACAATAATTTCTTTGGCAAAATGTCGTTTGTTTCCTGACTTTTAGAACTTTCTATGACATTTGAATCATTGTTTTCGTTATATTCCGTTGATTCTTTTATATCGGAAGGATTAATTTCAATTAAGTCACCGTCGTGTCCAAATGCAAAGGACTTTTGTCCTGAAACGTTTAGATTGCCGTACAAAGACCTGCTATATGTAGTTAGAAAATTCTTTTAAAAAAATGCAATCGATTCTTACCAATGATCATACGTTTATTACGCATATCAGGACTTTTCGAACGTGGACGTTCTAAAAATTGTCTATTATCAGGGGATAGTACAGAAAGTGTGCCACTGTGTTGCAGTGGACTATATTGCTCATAAGAATTATACATTGCATATGGATCAGTTTCATGACTTTCATGTTCTCGTAAACGTTGCATAATTTTTTGAACAATTTCTGATGGTGCTACGTATGGTGAACCTTTCAAATAATATGCAAAATTATTTCGTTGACCATAATAAATAAATGTTGCTGTACATTACATACTACTAACATCAGTAATAACTATAACAACATAAAAACAACTAGTAAGTAGTAATAATTAACAAATCATGTACAGTATGCAAATTATATAGCACAATGTCACATTTGTGTGTATACATTTTGAGAATGTAATAAATGTATTATTTATGTCACTTTTAGCTTTATGAACAAACATAATTACAAGCATACTGTCTTCATAATAATATAATCAGTGTTTCATGCAGATTAAATTTTTTCAGTATTTATAATAAAACTCAAAATTAACAAAAATTGTAGAGCATAAATTTTTAATTATAGCAGACAAATAATCAACATAAATACTTTGTAATTAAAATAGTATATTTTTAATTTTAAAATTAAATTTTATAAATAAAAATATTAGTTATTTATATATGCAACAAAAACAATTTTTATTGGAAAAGTCCTAACTGTCGTAAGACTTACAAACTTAATTGGTCCAGAATGTCTGCGATGTGGAAAAAGTTTAGATACGGATAATGTGCCATCGCTTCCTATAAAATTATCATTTACGTAACAATGTTACTACCGATTTAAGATAGTTGATCTAAAATTTTGTTGTAGCTATTTGTCATTAAATTTAACGACTTCCAACATGCTGTTTCTTCATTAATCTATATTTCATTACAAATTCGCTTGTAATGTTCGTAAATTTGTTATATAAAACTTACCAGTTAATCCTCTATATCCTAAGGATACCGAGTCAATAGATTCAGTTGTTTCTTGTTGGTGTTTCATAAAATCATTAATAGCTATGCCTTTTAACTTTGAAGGCTGCAAAAATCTTTTTGGTATACGCGAAAGAGAACCATTGTCTTGAGGGCTGTTTGGACAACCACCAAATCCAAGACCAAGTAATATTGCTTCTGGATCAGCCTTTCTCAATTCTAACAAGCTTTCCACGCTACTACAGTGACTACTATCAGACTGCAGACTTGGATCACGTACAAGTCTATGAGGTAATGAGCTGGAAGTAAACATAGCAATATAATTATGGTATAAAATTTAAAATACATGCCAACAGAAATTCGTATACAATACCTAGGTAGGCCGGATGTATTAGTTGTATTAATTGCTGATGTAGTAGGAACATTAATAGGTGCTGAGACAGTCATAGTTGGAAGTTTTGTTCCCAAATAATGTGGTATGTCTTTAGGCTCTGTCGGCATCAATGGAGTATCAACTATTTCAGTCAATACTTCATGGTGTTCATCTGCTAGCGACATATTTGATTTTATGGGCGATGGTATAGAATCAACCCACTGTTGAACTGGACCATTTCGTCGCCTCATTTCCCAAATTCCGCGTATCCAGCCCGTTACTTTTATAAATGTGTCTTTACCTACGTTTTCTATTACAGTAGAAACAATAATTATTAAAAAAACTGGTAAAACTAATAACATTCAAAGGATTAAATAAATCTATTGCGATTAATTAATTTTTACACATCAACATATTTTTACAAAATTTATGTTAGCTTCTATATATTGATCAAAATTTCTGTATTACAGGCTTATTATGCAAATTTGACATAATAATTAAAATTGCGAATTCTGCCTTTAATTCACGTTTAAATATTGTAGCACGTATGAATGAAAATATTCTAAAATACTACATAATCTATCTTCCTTGATGAAATACCTGGGTCCATCTCCTTTAAGCAGCGCGAATGAGATAAGATCATTAAAACAATAAGAACTGAAAACATGTGTGTATACAAATACGCATTAACCAGTTATTGTTTTTATACACGATTGCGAAATTATAAATTTGACGATTCGTACTTAGGAAACGAGAACATTAATATATAAAATTGAATAAATGTAGACCTACCTTCGATTTAAGAGAAAAATGAAAGCAAATAATACATTCCTATCCGAGTCAAAGTGCTTTAAAATGCATGTTAAAGCAGCATCGTTCTCTGAACGATTTGTGTTCCGCGAAGCGATTGAGAACAGAACAGCCACTTGTTACCCACACTATGAGTACTTCAGGGCCGTTTAATGCAGCGGCACTATTACAAAATATAAGACGAACATTTTGCATTAACATTGTATTCTTAATCTTTCTATATTCTACCCGATAGAAGTTTGATTTAACATTTCTAGCTCTAAATGACGTTTCGTATTCACTGTTTGTACAGAGAAACTTGTATCATCGGATAGATATATAAGTCGAACAAGTGCAATTTTGTTGACACAGATATACAAACATTACATTTTTAACTAAAAACTGTAGTTGGGAATGTTAAGGCTAAAACTGTCGTTCGTATTCGCAACACTTGTACGAAAGTATAAAGTATTTATGTACCAATGCCCTGCATACTATGGAATAATACAACGGAAATAAATACGCTCGAATCAGAGACGAAACTATATAAGCATATCGTGTACATGACACGTATATATGTAGATTTGTACATACATCAGTTATCAACAGAGTTTAAACTAATTGTATTGACATGTAGCTGATGCAGCCTTCGAATTAGAGAGGCAGTTGCACTGCTCTATGTGCGCGTACGTTTACGCGAAAAAACTGTATCAAGAAACATTTTAAAATTTCGTAAATGTCATCTCGTGGGAAGAAAAACAAAAAGAAAATATTAACGCGACGTCCTAGACATGTAGTCGGAAAAGAAGAGAAATATCGTCAAGAAAGGGACAAGTCCGACAAGGAAGAAGACGAAGAGTCAGGTTAGGGAAGATGCATTTAGGTGTGCATATTTAAAGGAGATTAATATTATTAAATTTTCAGAAGAAGGAGAATGGCCTCTCCCTTTTCCAGTCGCTATGTGGGATCTGGAACACTGCGATCCCAAAAAATGTTCCGGTAGGAAACTTGTTAGGCATGGTTTAGTGAAACTATTGAGGTTAGGTGCTCGATTTCCGGGCTTAGTTCTTACTCCTGTTGGTCAAAAGGTACACCGAGCGTATGTAGTAATAAAATAGTGTTATCATAGGTATTTGAAATTAAAAAAGTTTGTTACAGTGCGTGAGTCCGACAGATCGCGATATCATACGAGATTATGGATGTGCAGTGGTCGATTGTAGTTGGGCACGTTTGGACGATACCCCGTTCGGTAGGATGAGGACACCTAATCCTCGTCTCTTACCATTTTTAGTTGCAGCAAATCCAATAAATTATGGCAAACCATGTCAATTGAGTTGCGTGGAAGCTATAGCTGCTACTTTAATTATAACAGGTTTTCAAGAGGAGGCAAAATTTTATCTTGGAAAGTTTTCTTGGGGCCATGCGTTTTTAGAATTGAACGACGAATTGTTAAAAAAGTACTCGCTTTGCGCGAATGCAGAAGAAATTATAGCCACACAGGAGAAGTTCCTCGCCGATGCTAGACAAGAAAAGATAGATAGACACGGTAATTTTACGATCATCGCATTGCATAGCGATCATGCGGATATATATAACTCTGTAGCGTTATTGTTCATCGTTCTTGAATAATTTTTAGCTACTTCGGATTTCCCACCTACTGATTCGGAAACGGAAGATGAAATGGAAGAATCAGTCGAGAATACCGTTTCTCAAATAGATAAGCAATTAAGTGATGTAAATATAGTATAAGGATTGTACATATTTTTTTGTTTTGTACTTAATTCAAGACTAATCCCGTTACGTTACACGCTTATACGACTTATCTATTTATTGTAAATAAAAATCGTATCTCGAACAATATCGAAATGTAGGTCTTTCGATGTTTAAATCGTTAAACACTTAAACATCGCGCGCGTGCTTATAATTTTCAAGATGGCGGTGAATGGCGACCACATCTCGAGTTCGCCGCGCTTTAAACAGATGGCGCCACTAAAGACCAACACAAAATGGCCGAGAACTATTCCAGTAGTCGTTTCCCCTCGTATTTTGGGCTTCGTTCCCCTAGCCAATAATACTACTCTCTGTATCGTCCTTCAGATCCGTGGTCGCACAGCTGATACCAAAGTGACGTCAGTAAAACAAAGCCATGCGCGGTCGATCGCAGCCGCGAGGCAAACCGAACCGACCGAGCCGTCTCGCGAACAAACATTGGGCGTCCGCGAAACAGTGAGGTCCGTTTAGCAAGATTTCTCGGCCAGAGGTACGGTTTGCGTGCGCGGGTACGCTCGACTCGCGTCTTCCTCGCAAAGGATGCCGTTCATATCGAAAGATTGGCGCAGTCCTGGCGAGGAATGGGTCAAGACCGTCGAGGGCTGGGAAAAGAAGAAAATCCTTGAGTGCGCAAACAATAAAACGCTTTCTCTCCTCCTTCGGTAAGTGCCACCGTCTACTTTTGCGTTCTCTGCTCTCCTTCTACGTTCCTGGCGTCACTCTTTGTTTTCAAATAGCAGCCGACGCTAGCGGGGCCAGTCGTTTCCGGGTATTCGGTCCGCTTCACAGCTGTTACATCGATCGAATGACAGTTAGTCCACGGTTTGTTTACAATCACGAGTCGTGCTACCGACGAGTGCTTTGTCTGTCGTGACAGTCACTCGCTTGACGTTCCGTCTAGCAGAGGTAGTCGCAATTTTGCTCGAATAATAACGATGTGTAGCATTTGTAGTGTTTATTCGATTCAACAGTTTTAATACAAAAATAATTGATACAGATATTTTTGCGTTGAACAAATGCTCGATCAAAAGTTGTTTGTTTTATTCGTTTTTCGAATTTGTTATTTAGATAAGAATTTTGCCCGTTTCAGCCGTTGAGTGGACTGAACCATCACGGAAAACACTCGATTTCAAAGAATTTAGTATGACAACTTTTGTACTTGCTCTTCGTTTATACCTGACTCGATTGAACACACTGTTATACGATGTAAGTAATTAACGTTTCACGTCCAATTTTCATTTAATACGCATTATTCTCGATGATTTGCGCGTCAGATTCTCAAAGTGTATCGATTCATCATCGTCCAATGACTTTTATTTATATTCCTTCGTGGAAAATATCAGGAATAAAATATTTATTTAACTTTCCAGAGAATCGAGAGTGTTTGACGTTGTCAGTCGTCTATGGCAGTATGAACATTATTCCAAAAATAGCTCCTCGCGCGTTCTTAGTACTTTTCCAAGACGGTGCGACTTGTAAAATACGTTTGACTCCTTGTTGCGTTGCGAGGCAAATGAGAATTTTGACCATTTTTTATTGCAACGTTGATCTGGAAGCCTTAGGTATAATAATTTCCTTCGAATGGTTTTACAGGTATCATTGCGTCTACATTTTTTGTTTAATCTTTCTTGTTTTCCACGACAGCGAATCGTGTTTCTAATCAACGGTGCGTACCGCATACTCTCTCGCGCGGGCGCATTCTCCTTATGGTTATTGCTTCGTGATTTTCTTTTGTGGGCAGGTACGCGCAAATACCATCGGATTGGACGTGTATGTGATATACGTGCACGAATTCACCGACGAATTAAGCACCGGCGCGTCTCGAGACCGTGAAAGCTCCTCGTGCCAATGCATACACCACAGACAGGCAGGCAGGCGAGCTGTCGGGGGCTGCACCCGTCGCCACGCTTTCGCGCGCTTCGCGAAAGAACGATCCCCTTTTCTTCTCCTTCTTCTGTTTGCACACCAAACAAACTATCGCGTGAAGACCAAATAGTTTCTCGTTACTCGTTTAACATCTGCAACCGCGGATCGTCAACTTTCTACCTGAAAGTAACATTTGTTTGCAACGTGTTCCTCAAAATTATTCAGCCACGAAACACTTTCCATCTCGCAATACGCTTTCATACTTGCACTATTCTTTAGACAGATAATTAAAGGAAAATATTTGATTGAAATGAAAAATATTTTGTAGCTTTCTATACGTACATTTTGACTTTCTTTTCTATAATTTATGCAATATTAATCCTATTAATATGCAATTCACGTTCTTCTTTAAATATTCCTTCGGCATATCCAATGCTGGAAAGTTGAATCGTGCCAGGCCCAGCATCAATCTTTTCCTGAAGATGTCGCTCAATACCGCGATACTTTTGTTAGAGTCGAACGTAATTTTTTCACCGCTTCTAGGCACACAGCTCTGCAATTTCGTATCTTAACGATATACAATTTGCCTGGTGTAGCAGTTATGTGTACATACATACGTATCCGACGGCCTTGGCTTCCGGATCGCAGCGCGTTGCGCGCAGCTTTGCTCCGATCAGCAGCTCCCGAGATCCACGCGATACGTATTACGAACAGCGAGCTTTGAACTTCTTTGTTGCGTGTACGAAGGTATAGCCTGCGTAATCTGGCTTCAATTACTGAACACGATGGTTCTTACAATACCCTTCGTCTCCTCAATCTTCGACCTTTTTATACAATCGTGACTATTCGTCTGTCAGCCGTCTTCTTTTATAAATTATATTTTCAAGAGTGTATATTCTATTACAATGCAATAAGGTTGTTAAAAATCGAACTAAATGGGTTCCTGGGGGGGGGGGGGGGGATTGAACGAATTCTCGAATTTATAGCAAGTACAAGCGTAACTTGTCCGTGTCCTGGTACGAAAGTGGGTCGCGACCTAGGCAGCCTGACTTGCACCAATTTCGCAAATCTCCTTCTGTATCACCGAGTCCTGATAAATTCGATCGGACGATACCGTGCTTCTTGGCGACCACCTCGCATCTCGAATGGAGAGCTTCGATTTTACACTTACCACGAAAATATCGAATACCCCACGATATGTGCGCGCGATAGAACTTCATGCGTTTACTCCTATGTGTTGCATATTAAACATGAGAATACATCTCAGGCTCAGTTGTCTATCGAAGATTCAAAGTTTTGGAATAGAAAATACTTTGAAAGCTTTTAAGCTTCCTAGAAACTTCAGAAGACACTTTCTATGGCTTGCCTGAAAGTCTGGAGTAAAACCAGAGCTCCTGTATACCGAGAACTTTTTGATATTCTCATCTGTCTGAGTATTCATAATGTACAGCAGTGATGCACAAAGTTCCACTCAAATCCAATTCCATTCAAATGCAATTTTACTTCGTTTTACTCGTTAGCGAAAAAGTTGTGCACCACTGGTGTATAGTGTGCCTGACCGCGTGTACAAATACGCACTCGTTCGTGTACCTACGCGACTCGTTTCACGACCAGTATTACCGATACAAGTTACATAATGTCGCAGGATTATTGGTGCGAGGTTTCGGTCCCTGCATCGCCTAAGCGCGTTAGTGCAAGGTCTCTGCTGCGACCGTACACCAGCGATTCGTCGACGTTAACACTTCGTCGAGTACAATAGGGAGACGAATTCGTTTCGGTAATTGGATTTTCGGATAATCTGCCTAAGAAAATCAAAGATGCAACTGTGCGAAAGAACACGTACGAAACATAGTGTAAGAAGTAAGTTAATCATCTTTGGACTGTGAATATTTACATCGAGAACCTACTTTACACTTCTATAGTTATCAGCTCCGATGTTAAGTTCTGTATTCGTAAAATCGGCCATCAGGACAGACGATGCTTTACTGTACTTTGGTCGAATGATTAGGAGCCGAAAGATTATCGCCTACACGTTTGAAACTTCACCGATGATCATGGTTGACAAAGCTAACGTGCGATTCGTTTTTATTGTTTTGCATCGCGTGCAAAGCACTTGGTATTCTCGTCTTCTTCGCCTCGCTTTATTCGTCTGTAAATACGATCTCATCGCTACGTTTCTTAATAAACGTTGCACAATTACAGCCATCGAGGCGCATCGTCGACAATTAATTCGAACGTTTTGTATCGGGAGATTCGATTTGCGAAGAAAAGAAAAATGGGTCATCTCTAACCGTGGAACAATCGATTTCCTGTTGCGTTAACCATTGTTTAGTCCTTTGACGTATTCAGCGACCTTTCGCGCAACTTGATGGCAGCTAAAACAAAGCTGTCGCGCAGACAACATTATCTTCGTTAACCATGCCTTTGGAAATGGATACGTGATCTCTACTTAAACTGTCGCGACAAGACGATCTAGTTAAAAATTAATGATGTTATTCACCGTGTACCGGATAAATGGTTACTTTTTATTCCTTAATTTGATCTACATGAGAATTTTGCATATCTCCGATGTCGGTGACTCGACGCAGAGGTAAGCACGTGGGCGCGCAAGTTGCGCCCCGTATCCACAAGAAGATCAAAGGAAACGAATAAAACAGACTTCGAAGTAAAATCAGGTTTCGCTCAAGGTCGAAAAAATTTGTTTCTTTTTCAGTGGACATCGAACACTTCGGCCTAGCGCAGCTTACTATCCATTTTCGCATTATACCGTTACCCAGAAAACTAATGAAGTTTCTTATACAATATGGTATATTCAATAGAAATGTTAATTATATATTCGATTAAATTTCATTGCTGTCGTGTTCTAAAAATTGTTTGCCCCTTGGTCCTCAGCAGGACAATGCTTAACGATGTACAAAACAAGAAAACGAGAGTTATAGCTGATAATACACAGGGTGGTTCTAGAAACTGGGACAAGCCGTAGCTCTCTCGTCCAAGCGTAGATATGAATTGATACAGGAAAAAGTTGAATCTCACAATGAGGACCATGCATCTCTTTTATACGCGGAATGACGAGAAGAATCGATTTATGTACAAAAAGATGCATAGCTCCGTTTTAAAAACAGGTGCGCATTGCATCAACTCAATTCCAATGATAACTCTTTTGTAGCGTATTCAAATAAACACGAGAAAGCTTTAAAGGGATCTTCACCAAAATCGAATCTGTTCTGTAGAGTTGTTGCTTACAAATCGAACCCCTTTCATAGTTTGAGATCGTGTAAACCGGTCCCGTCGTTATCGTGCTGTAATTGGGCTGTTATTGCCGGCCCACTATATAATTTTATGTCTTGAAAAAAGCTACGTACGCCCACGTATACGGTTGTTGTTTGCACACGCGAACGAGCAACGCGGCTGTTAACGCGCGAAGCAATGTTCACGCTTAGCGATTCCGTTCGCCAGCCTGGTTCGCCAAGTTTAAGTCGCGACCTAACAATTACTCTGATCGTTAAAGTTTCCTACGCATACATTCTGTTGGACCAATGAAAGAATTTGCATACAACGTGTCCTACGATCGTTAAGCAGACCGTGAATAGACAAGGGTGGCATTATCGTCTCGTTTGTTTCTTGCAGCGCCGACAAGGATGCCCTCGACAAGAAGGAAAAGGACAAAAAGAAAGGTGAGTATGGCGCGTTCGACGATTCGAGTCGAATCATTTGTGATTTACCATAATTTACCAAGACCTCGATTAAAGAAAATTGGTGGTCCTGAATCTCGATCTTTAAGCGAGGAATTGCCTATACTAAAAGATACGGGGGGAACGCGCGGGAAGCAGAGGGACGCTCTGAAAAGCACTGAAACGGCGCGTCGTCTTTTGCGTCTCAGACGGAAGGGGTGCTCGCCATTTAGATCTTTCGACTAACTATCTTCTCGTGTAATTTTAGAAAACGTCGTCCAGCCGCATTGCCACATCACGCTGAAGTGCACGCGCGAGGTGAGTGACTCGTTCCACCCCTACTTATATTTAACTTAGCTTCGCGAAGGGGAGAGCCACGAGATGGGATATTTATTCGTTAAGGGGTCTTCCCACTTTAGAGGCTTCGAAAAACCGAATTTTCCTTTTTCTTACATTTTCTGGAAACATGTCTCGTAAACAAAGTTTAGACGAAAAAAGGGCTTGAGACTATTCTTACGTTTCGCTATTTCGATCATAACGAACTCTAATATTATTTTTCCATTTGCAGATCGCCGGCTTCAACGGTTTAAGCGATGCATTGAAGAGGCTCGATTTTCTATCCGCGGTTCACGATTGCCGCCGTTTCAATTATATTGTGCGACTGCTGGACCTTCTGGTCAGTCACAGAATGGGCGGACTAAGCGGATGCGCTCAGCGAGTTCTCTTCAATATGCTGGAAGAAGTCGCGTTGGAAGGTAAATTATTCCCCCACTTGTTCATCCGTTCGTTCTAGCGATGGGAATGATACGAGTTCGGATTTACTTTCGTGTTTCGCAGTATCGTTGTCTCAGCAACAAACTGGAAGGCTTCGTCGGCTGATTGAAAGAGTGCGAGCTTTCAGCGCGGGATGCTGCTGGGGTGGCAGACCCTTGGGCTCCGTGATCTTGTGGGAAAAACACAAAGCAGCTTTGGAGAGAATCTTGCAAATTGCATCGTCCATCACTATAACGCAGGTATGATCTGATAAGGTTCGATAAAGACGCATGATTATACAAGGATGTCGATTGTTTTAAGAATTCTCGACATCTTCGAAGGCCAAAGAAAATATATTCATTGAAAGTACCTACATTTGATAACAAGATTTCTGAGGCATCATATCATTTGTTTTCTAGTGTTTAACTTAGTAGAAAATGATTGGTTCTTTCCTTATCTCTTTCGGTTCATTTGAACGATCGATAACGAGACGAGTTGTTGTCGTTTTTCAGCCTGACGAAGAACAACAGCCACAATGGTCTGATTTGCCTGCCGAATGCCGTCGAGAGGTGCTTCTTCGACTGAGCGATCCACGTGATATCGAAGCTTCTTCGGAGGCTTGCGAACATCTCGCCGTCCTGGCTCAAGAACAAAGAATCTGGCGCGAGCTTGCCCAGTATCATTTCACGCCTCAGCAAATAGCCACCACCAGACAAAACAATCCTGGAAAAGACTGGAAGACTATATTTACCGTTGCTCGAAGGTAATACGCGTGTGTGAATCTTTGCTATACACAAATATATGTATTAAAAGGAGTAACCTTAACGATTCCCTGACAAATTCGTTTGTTTAGATCGTTCGGACTACGAGAAGAATACGCAGAGATGATCCAACTGTGCCGCAATTGCCGTTGCTTGTTTTGGCGGTCGTTGGGCCATCCTTGTATCGCGGATCAAGATCCAGCGTTTCAGGAGAAACTGGCAGACGTCGATCAAGCCTCTCTTCACGTTCCGATCCCTCCGCAAACCTTCCTCAAATTCTTTTCGCTGTAAACGACACGTACAATCGAGATCGTTCGAAACGAGGGAACCAGAGGTATTGCGCGAAAAGCGCAAGCAAATGCAACCGAAACGGAAGATCGACCGCTCTCTAATAAAGATAGAGAGTCCCTATACGTCGACTGTAAGTACGTATACGCGCGCACGAGCACGCACTATTCAAGTAGAAATGAGATAGAGGTGTTTACAAGGTGTTTACTCCTCGCTTAGAGATTCCAACATTATCGTTGAAACAAAAATATCTTTAACGCGGGTTACTGTAAACATGTATACGTGTACATAACACGTACGTACACTTGATCAATATTTTTTCGAGTGATCAAATTCCAGTAATTACGGGTAGTCCATTTGTTTCTCTTTAACCCAGAAAAGGCTGATTTTTTTTTTCTTTTTTTAATACTTTACCACGAATAGATTAGGAATAACACATTTAAGTGGAAAGGAAATGACCCTAAAACGATCCTTCCTTCTAGAAGGACATCAGCCTAATGTATCTAATATAAAAACAGAGTAACGATACATTTAAACACTTTATTCAAGACAAATTTGCGATCCTTCTGGAAGAACGTCATGCGTGACTGGTTTGATATCCTCGTCGGAGGTACGTGAGGATGGTAAACCAATTGTTGTATTCCCATGTTGTTTGCTAATTACGACGCTAAGAAACAGAGGCTTAACGTGTAACGATATTTAGAATCGAATTTACGATACATTGTCCGAGAATTTTACTACACGGTAAAATTATGAAAATTTCTGAATCGTGCTGTGGGATTAACGATTACCAAAACAACCTTTGTGAATGATGAGAATTCACGAATTGTTGCTATTGTTCTCTTTACTGTATTTTTACGCGACAGAACAAATGTAACGTATACTCTCGCGTCTACCGCGCTACAAAGTTAAATCAGTTTTCGTTGGAAGCTTTTCTTTCAGCGTACGGACTACGATGAATTCGTCTTCTACGACTTGCCCAAATGGCGTCAGTCGGCAAAAGTAACGGACGTTGATTTCGTCGAAACGATCGCGAAATCTCATAACTGTAGATCTAGATCGATGGTGTGTATGCGAAATGCGATTGGTGCTGGTCGAAAAATATTTATCGAAGTATTCTTCATGGTACACGCGATCGACTTTGTAAACGCCACCGCTCGCGGGCGTTGCTTCGTCGTTGCTTTCAGCAGCCGCTGTACCGGCATTTCATTTCCATTTAGGTGAATTTAGTTTTTAGAATTTGCATTTACTTAGCGCGATTATTGAAGTTCTTCTTCAAGCGTTCATCACGATTTCTTGTATGTCGGTTTTTTATACGTATATTCTGTGCGCATATGTTTTGCATGGATGTTTACATTCTCTGCCCCCACGCCTCCCCACACACGCGGGGTAAAGATTGTAAAAAAAAACCATTTTTAAAACGATGCATACCAGAGCCTCGAAACGATCGAGTGTAATACGAAAAGAAAGCAAGCAAGGCCAATGATTATTCATTGTAATCAGAGATAGACAAAATTCTCATCTAGATAAACACGTTTCAAATAACGAGTTAAAGGTAAACAACTTTTGATTCGTTATTTCTTTAGTAAAAATTATAATCTGCGAGTTTCTATTTGTCATATACTGTTCGAATAAAATTCTGTCCATCTCCAGCTCCAGGCAGATTTTGACAAATTCTCTTGCAATTTACGGATACAGGGTAACATCTACAATCGAAGTCGTCTGTGAAATAAACGCAAGCGTATATTTCGTTGTTAAGCTCTGTATGCTCGTTGGAGGGGGAAAAAAGCTCCTATTTACGATGCTTAGTATACATTTCTTGTACGTACTCGTTTAGCACTAATGTCAGATTTACAAAGGTTTCATAAATACATAGAGATCGATAATTAATTTGAAACGCTGAAAAATCATACTGCCAAAATGGATGCTATTGCATTTACGCGAATCGAAGCGTTTATTTTGTAAATTCCGTTTAAATCGACGCAGCATAGTTCTTTTGATATTTGCTTTTTTTCTTAATGGCAACGATTGCAATCGTTGCACACATATACAGTACACGTGTACTTCGCTAATCTGACAGATTAGTATAAAAGGACGACCAAAAGCGATGTACGTGTAACGTTCTTTGGTGTGAGAGTGCAATACGAGCTATATGTGCGGGTGTAAAATTTTAGCAGCTCATCGTACGTTTTACGATTTAATTCACCGACCTGTGTAAACTGCGCTCCTCGGGTGACCTTGAATCGACATTATTTTACTTACGTAAACAAATGTAGAGCAGCGTTGTGTAAAATGCTTTGAAATAAAAGATCTATTTGCGTGTGTGTATATATATATATATATATTAAACTTTTTAATACATATATTGAAATTTATAATACGTTCATTATAATATTTTCAATGTATATATTAATATTTATTTTAATATGTATATATATATTTACTTGTACATATTGATGTACATAATGAACATTTTAATCTTTTAAATTTCCCTTTACAGAGTGTTCTATAATTTCGTCCATTTTATTTCGAGACTCGTATATTTTCTTATAAAATATACCACGTTTAAACTTTCTAATTCATATATTTTTATGGACGTTTACATGTTTTAATATTCATTTACTTTTAATTGGTCATGTATATTGTATGCAATGATCCACTTGCATGCACATATAATGTTTGTTTATAAAAGTATGCGCATAAGCATGCATGCCATGGTGTCCTGATCATGCAACTATATGAATTTCTTTGTGTTGTCTAATGTAGAAATTAATTTCTGCTACTTATTACGTATATCTTTCCTTTATTTATTAATTCTACGCATACAATCTCTTTTTTGCTTAAAGTTTCCATTGTTCTAATCTCTCAATTTTAGCAGTAACATACGCACTCTTAACATTGTTTATTTCATGATTAAGTTCGTTGTTGGCGTAGCGGCATCTATGCGATAAATCTGCAACCATAACTACGGAATACTGCGCTTGCGTAGACGAGTGATCTAGTGACGCTGTGTTCTGTCGGTGGGTGCCGCGACACTCCGCGGTTCGCGTTTGATTCATATCAGATATTTTGCAATTTAGTCGAAAGAAATCAGTGGAAAATGTCGACGATACCACACAGCAAGAAGCGCGTCTGCTACTACTACGACAGTGAGTGAAAAAAATTAGAATATTCCTTAGTAATTTGTGATCCCGCGAAAACATTATACACGCACGGGGAGATTGTCAAAATGTGTTTGTGCTGTCCGCGCTTGTATCCCGTACGACTAATTTATTTTGTGTCTATCAATGTATTTCGGTGTATTTTCCTCCAAATAAGTTTCGTCTTTTCATAAATACGTAAAGTACTTCCATTTTATTCACAATGCTGGCTACTTTTAGCGTGGCTTCTACCTCCTTATACGGTTTTAGCCACGTTAAGGCGAGAGATTCTCAGGTGTAGCTCCATGTTACCGTACTTGAACGAAGAAAGAGCGTCGGCTTTATCTACCTACCTACCTACCCTTTAGCAATTACAGCACATTAAATGATTTTCATCGCTTATTTACTATTTTTCAATGCAACTCTTTCCAGTTTTATTTATTAGATCTTCACAAACTTTTAATATTATACGTGGATCGTCGATAAATCATTAGAATTTAATAATAAGCAGTTATAACAAAAAAATTATGAATTATAATTATCTTTCTCCCAATTAGATATTTGTATATCTCGTGTATTATTACAGTTTATTTTATTCAATGGTATTATAATTCTTATAAATAAGATCAATTATTCTACTCGAAATAAACGAATTATAGGTTATGAAAATGTATTGAGAAATTACGTCAAATTTGTAACTAATACAGACGCATGTGCTGAGATTTATAAATGTGCTTTATATGTGTTATAAATCCTTAAAAAATGGTAGATTTTCGATTATATATACGAAAGATAACACTGTTTTCTGATGAGTTACGCGAAAGATTCTCAAGTGTATCTCGGTTGACCGTAGCTTGTAGTATACATATCCGTTCATAGTTAATTTACAAATTTTTGTTATACAATGGAACAAATGAAAATAAAAGTCATGCCTTAGGTGATATTGGAAATTACTACTATGGACAGGGACATCCCATGAAGCCACATCGTATAAGGATGACACATAATTTACTTCTCAATTATGGTCTTTACAGAAAAATGGAAATATATGTAAGAATTATTAATCATTTCGTCATTATTTATTATATAGCGAATCATAAATAATTCCGTTTTCAGCGACCTCACAAAGCTACAGCTGATGAAATGACAAAATTTCATAGCGACGAATATATAAGGTTCCTGAGATCCATAAGGCCTGATAATATGTCAGAGTATAACAAACAAATGCAAAGATGTAAGATCATACAAATAAACTTTATATTCATAATAAAATTATAAAGTATATATATATTATAAAGATAATACTTTGTTTTTTCTACAGTTAATGTTGGAGAGGATTGCCCTGTTTTTGATGGTTTATATGAATTTTGTCAATTATCAGCCGGTGGTTCTGTAGCTGCTGCTGTAAAGCTTAACAAACAGGCTTCAGAAATTTGTATAAATTGGGGTGGTGGTTTACATCATGCCAAAAAGAGTGAGGCATCTGGGTTTTGTTATGTTAATGACATTGTACTAGGAATCTTAGAACTGCTTAAATATCATCAAAGAGTTTTATATATTGATATTGATGTTCACCATGGTGATGGAGTAGAAGAGGCATTTTATACCACTGATAGAGTAATGACAGTTTCCTTTCATAAATATGGTGAATATTTTCCTGGTACTGGTGATCTTCGCGATATTGGAGCAGGGAAGGTATAAAATCAACCATCAATATAAATAAGATTTATTGTATCCAATAAGATATGCATGTACTTTTCTTTTACACAGGGAAAATATTATGCTGTGAACATACCTCTAAGAGATGGTATGGATGATGAAAGTTATGAGTCAATATTTGTACCTATTATTTCAAAAGTAATGGAAACATTTCAGCCATCAGCAGTTGTTTTACAGTGTGGTGCTGATTCGTTAACAGGTACACCTTTGTACATGGATACAATCTTATGTAAAAAAAACATGTATATTAATTTAGTGTATTTACAGGAGATAGGTTGGGTTGTTTCAACTTAACAGTAAGAGGTCATGGTAAATGTGTTGAATTTGTAAAAAAATATAATCTCCCTTTTTTGATGGTTGGCGGTGGTGGATACACTATCAGGAATGTATCCAGATGCTGGACATATGAAACATCAGTGGCTCTTGGATCAGAAATTGCAAATGAATTACCTTATAATGATTATTTTGAATATTTTGGACCTGATTTTAAATTACACATTAGTCCCTCAAACATGGCAAATCAAAATACTCCTGAATATCTTGAAAAGATTAAGTATGTTTCAACAGAATACTAAAATATATATATATATATAGTTAATTTTCGTTGTTTTATGAGTTTAAATTTTTTTATAGGACTAGATTATTTGAAAATCTACGAATGTTGCCTCATGCACCAGGTGTACAAGTTCAACCCATACCAGAAGATGGTGCAGTAATCGAAGATTCTGAGGCTGAGGAGAAAGTAAATCCGGACGAACGATTACCACAACGGGATTTAGACAAAAGGATACAACATGAAAATGAATATAGCGATAGTGAGGATGAAGGAGAAGGAGGACGAAGAGATAATAGGTCATTTAAGGTAATATTTATTATTTCTAATATGCTACAATTGTGGTAAATAATTTCACATTTAAATTACAATACTTTCTTATCCAATAGGGTTCCAGAAAACGACCTCGTCTAGAGAAAGGTCAAGAAGGCATAGAAAGCGATCTCAAAAAAGAGGAAGATATAAAATCGGAACCAAAAGGTATGTACATTTAATTTTTCTGTGTAAAATTATGCTTTCGCATTTAATTGTGTTTTCATAAGAAGCAATAATACTTTACAGAAAATGAGAAAGACGAAAAAGCAAATGCCACAAACGAGGAAACAAAGAAGGATGGTGGAGCGAATCCCTGATAAATGGTTGTCATTGAACATTTAAGAAATTGGAAAAAGTCCTTATTTAAATCAAGTATGAATAAGTATAGATAACTTAAGTCAAGAATCATACGATGTCCGCTGCCTCGAACTCGGTAATACAATTCTAAATTATGATTATCACTTTTTATTATTTTATTCGGAAATATCTATTTCTGTAGAAACGTTGGTACATGTATATATATCGAATTGAATTCGTGGCAAGCTGCATTGTTACCACGATACACGTATGAGCGTGTAATACTTCAAGCGCTCTACAATTTCAATTGTCTCATTAAATTTACAGACGTTTTCCGATATTCTTAAATTGACAATTTATCAAATGACCGGTTCTAAAACTATTGTTGGGATCAGTCAGTATCTTGAATAATCTGTCGAATTTTATGATCCTGCCAAATTCACCTTTGTATACATTTATATAGAATAAAAGTAACGAGTCAGTTGAGGTAAGTACCTTGATTGTACAAAGAATTTTCATATCGATTAAAAAAATACATTTTATAACATTTATTTGTTTTGTTCAATGAGATCATAAGATACCGACAGCATTTGAAGATACCTAACCTTACGATTAGCATGTTCCGATAAATCATGCAAGAAATATAATGTTTATAACATTTTGGGCGCTCGAAGTCCTTTTTCTTCTTATCCATTACTCGCAGTGTGATCTTGATTAAACCGTTTAATAAGCGCGATTTATAATCGAAAGAAAGAGCGATTATATAACGGGCAAGTATTAGAGATTAACAAATTTTTTTGCTTCCTATTCTTGTACATAAAGTAAAATCAGGTTTAAACGAAGTCCTACATGCAATAATACTATACGATAACAATAACGATATTCGTTTTGATATGTAAAGTATTTTATTTTATATGAATGAAATTGATTGATCGGCGAAGACGAAAGTACGGAGAAATTAAAACAGTCAATGAACGTATTAAATTCAAACATAGATTAGAATCTTAATCATAAATTAAGCAAAAGTAATTGTAAGATTTCAAAATTATGAATGTAACGCAGTCGATTTATATCTGTATACCGAGGCTGCGAAAGTACTGTCGTTCAGAAAAAAGAAAAAGAAGAGCGTCTCGCAGATGCATTTATAAAATTGTTACCCTCCAATCGCAGTACTTTGGATGTTTATGTAAAAGTAAAAATACATTGATGATTTTGTGTACATAAAATGTAACGTTTTGCGCCTCAATAATATTTCAAAAGCAGATTAAATTCGACTAGTTACACGACGACAGATAATTGATCGAAAGAAAAATATATGTCGATTTATCTAGTTGTAATTAAGTACCTACCACTACTTGTAATTAATTATCCGCAAAGACAAATTCGATACAATATTGCGTATATCTAAGTCGGTTTGAGATAGATCAAGTACGATATATAAATATATATATTTATGTCCAGACATGAATAACACGAATGTTTTTAAATATTTATAATAAAAAATAAAGAAATCTACCGCGCGTATTGGTGAATTTTGTTTTCCGCTACGTGGACTAACAGAGTGTTTTCTGTTATAACAAAATGGCGGCAGTCCTAAGAAACCGACAGACTGTTCAATGGTCTTTTACAATCTGGCTCGCAAAAAGTGCGTTTCATCAAAAGTGTGACATCCAAAGCACAATTTTGATACGTCCAATATGATAACGACTTTTGTCGTTCATTTTATACGGATTACCGTCGGATGTACAATATTATTTAACGATATATCAGTTCTAACCTCACAGTCGAGAAACTTTATACTTAGGGTATGAAAACAATGTACGAATGATTATCACCTATGTATCTTATGAAGTCTTAAGGTTTTCATTAAGTAGCATAATATTGCCATCAATTTAATCGAGAAAATTCATTGGGAAAAAGAATATTTAACCGTCAGTAGACATCAAAACTCCTATAGATTCTAACAGGTTGATGTCAATGCAAATACAATCTGTTGAAATGATTTCTCAATTATCGCATGTTATGACTCTTGCAAACAGCATTATCGGAGTAAGTGTTCTTGCAATGCCATTTTGTTTTAAGCAATGTGGCATTGTATTGGCTACTTTGGTTTTATTAGTAAGTAGCGTCTTGTCTCGACTTGCTTCTCACTTTCTTATCAAGTCAGCTGTAATGTCAAGAAGACGAAACTTTGAGCTCTTGGCTTTTCACGCATTTGGTCATATGGGAAAAGTCTTAGTGGAACTGTTCATCATTGGTTTTCTTGTGGGAACGTGTATTGCTTTCTTTGTTGTTATGGGTGACGTTGGACCACAAATCATAGGGAAAATGATAGATAAAAATCCAGAAGATATCAGGACCAGTTTGCTTGTAACAACAAGCGTTTTTATTGTTTTACCCTTGGGATTGCTTCGAAACATCGACAGCTTATCCAGTCTTTGCACTGCTACAATTATTTTTTACCTATGTCTTGTATTAAAGGTAAATAATTTATTTTACTGTAACTACAAATTTTAAACAATGAAATATGTATTTAATGTAATTTATGATCGTCACAATATTTTATTTCTTTGTTATTAGACAATGACAGAGTCTATGCAACACATTTTTGCAGAAGACTGGTATGATCATGTATATTACTGGAGACCATCTGGTATACTTCAATGTATACCTATTTTTTCTATGGCTTTATTCTGTCAAACTCAACTATTTGAAATATATGAAACCATTCCCAATGTGTCATTAGAAAAAATGAATGATGTTGTACGTGGTGCATTAAATATATGTACAATTGTATATCTATGTGTTGGATTCTTTGGTTACATTGCATTTTGCACACAACCTTTTACAGGTATTTATATAGTTCTACACGCATGTCGCACTTCTGAGTCCTACTAATTTATTATTGAATTTGTAGGCAACATACTAATGAGCTTTGAACCTAGCTTGTCATCCGAAATGATCAAAATGGGATTTGTGTTTTCTATTGCATTTAGTTTTCCTCTAGTCATTTTTCCATGTCGTGCAAGTTTAAACTCTCTTTTATTTCGCAGGGTTCGTATAGTTGTAGCGACGTAAAATAATAGTAGAATAATATCATTTAGTAGTTATATATATATATATATATATATACATATATATATAATTTCTTACAGGTACATACTCACGAGCCATCTATAAGTTATTTACCAGAAACAAGATTTAGATGTCTTACTATTGCTATTGTTGCCGTTTCTCTGACTGCTGGTATTCTAATACCAAATATTGAATTTGTTCTTGGTTTAGTGGGATCTACAATTGGAGTAATGATATGCCTAATATTCCCAGCAATATTTTTTATATCCATTAGTAGCAAACATACTAATGAGAGGTTATTAGCACAAGTAAGATTACTAGGTGAATTCATTAATTTTAATATTATTTATTTGTTTATCATTAATATTCTCTTCTTAATATATTATTAGGTGATTTTATTTATTGCTATCTGCATTATGATTCTAAGTACATATGCAAATTTGTATGCTTTGGAAGAATCTACTAATACAAAAGCATTGGCAACAACAAGCAAACCTCTTAATCAAATTAATAATTTACCATTAACTGTAAATAAAGACGACAGTAATGCAATAGCAAATATTCCTAAGAACCCTGACATTCTACCAGATATTAAAGGTATTAAATACGTTTTATTATTACTATGTAGCATACAAAATGACAGCAGTAACAACATTATTCATTTTTAGAGAAAATAAATCAGATACCAGTTCTAAATATTCTTGACAAATCATTGAACTTAAAGACGAATGATGTTCGTCAGGAACCACCGATTCCAGTTGAGCGCGTAGTTGTTGCGGAGAAATTAGCAGCGGGAACACAAAAGTCTGTAGAAAGTATTGTAATTACAGCTCCTCCAGTGAAAATAATTAAAAATGAAATTGTAAAAATAGGAGAATCTGATACAGCAAACGTAAAAGAAGAAAATCATCCCGTAGAACTAAAAGATAAATTTGTAGATATACAAAAAACAGATAACCTTATAAATTCTGATGCAATTAAAAAAGAAGAAACGGAACTAGCTGCTGATGCAGATGCTGCTAACATAATGGCTGCAGAAAGGCATGAAAAACTTAGAAAGACTTTAGAAAAGTACAAAATTGAGCAACAACAAATGATGCAGGAACAAAAAGAAATATTAAAAGATCTCAAGGAACTTAGAAAGCTTGAAGAGAATGAAAAGGAATTAAAAATTCTTAATCAAGAATCTGTTTTAGAAATGAAACAAAATTCTACAAACTTGGATGTTAATAATAATAAGAAAGCTTTAAACAAAATAAAAGGAAATAATGAGAGAGTTTCGAGTACAAAATTGAATGAACAGTCTAAAACGGTAAATAATGATGATAAAATTAAAATCAAACAGGCGAGGGCTAAAGAAGATAAAAGTATTCAAACGGATATTCAAAATGAAAATTCTGCCACAGATGTACAAAATAAAATATTAAATAAAAAAGTCTTTGATGGAGAAAAAATCAAAGAGACGAAAGTTACATCAAGCAATTCAAAAGAATTACCAAAAGGTCCTATTTTAAATGCTTTGTCAAAACGTGGATTGCGAAAGTCTATTGCTACTAATGAATTAGTAAGTAATAGCAAAGGTGGAATAGTCTTGCCTAAAAATGACAACAATAGAGCTAATAATATTAATTCTAATTTACAAAAAGATCCGAGTTTGAATACCGAGAATCAACCAGTAGAACATGAATTTTCTTTACCCATTGCATTAAAAATGCGAAATCAAACAAAAGTAGACAATGCGTCTATTTTATCAACAAGTAAGTTAGAAGAAAATATTCAAGCGATTCGTAGAGATATTTTGGAGGACCATGAACGCGAGAAACGAGAAATCGATGTGAATGTAGAAGAAACTAATACCAAAGTTACAAGTGATATGTCAGACAAAAACACTGAATATTTATTAAAAAATTCTACCTTAAAAGATGATCAAGAAAAATGTTTCAAGCAAAATGAAAATATTAATGAAAACATAGCCAGTAAAACGATAGAAGGGTTAAGTGAAAACCCGTCTAAAAGTGATTTAGTTGAAGCGTCGTTGATTAAAACCAATATATTACTATCGCAGCAAGAAGTAAATGCCATTTCGGTAGATTCTAACATTCCTATAAGAGGAGAATACGTCAAATTAAACCAACGAGACTTGAAGTCTGTGGATACTGATGAAGATTGTAATTTTTGAATCTTCAGAGACCTGATTAGGAATAGTATATACGACATAATATATGTGTGAAAACTTATTTTATAATTAGAAAATTGATGTAATTATTTTGTTACTGTTCCTTTCGACTGTTTCCGTAAGTTAAACATGTACAGTAGATATTTATATTACACAGTTACACTGTATATCGTCATACATATCGCTATGCGTTTATGTTATAATTATGTACGAACGAATATGATTGTGAATATATTTTTACATTAAAAAACGTGTTATTATTTACTAGGAACTTTTTTCACTACAAACTTGGTCATTTTCTCACCGATGGCGCCACTGGTACTAAGACCGGTATTAAATAAAATATTTAAAAAAATGATAACTTTGACATAATCACACATGGACTGACCATTTTATTATTTACTACACTTAATAATTAATTTTATTTTATTTCAAGTTTTTTACTGAGCGGCTCAATGAGCGGTGCCTCTTTTAAATGCACCCATTGCTTGGCAAATCGAGATAAGTATGCGCTTCAATGCGCTTGCGCGCTGCGTCACACTTATCACTTATGAATCAGCTGATGAGAGGAGAGGATTGTTGCTCTGAGTTTCAACAATATTACAGTAAAAGTTAAAAACTATGTCGTTAAATACAGCGCACGCAAACGGCGGTGTCCTTATACACGCCGGTGAATGGTGAGTTACGATAAACGTTTGTCATTTTTGAGATTGTTACCGCTATTTCGTATGTGTCGACTGTGACGTTTCTGCAACGTAGTTACTATCGTGGCCTTCCTAAGACGACTTCCTTATTATTTCAATAATCTTCCTTCCATTAATCATAATGCCGTATTGAACCGCAAAAGATGTTTGTATTTTCTAAATTACGTTAACATGTATTCTACATTATTTTAATATAACATTTTCTACTCGTTCCTTAGCATATTATTATTTTGCGACAATGTTACAATGGAATTCCATGGACAAGAGCAACCAGAGTTTCTGGGTAGTAAGCGTGGTCGATTGTACCTAACAACACATAGAATGATCTTTAACGCTAAAGATCAGAAAGAGAGGATGCAATCTTTCAGCTTTCCATTTATAACACTGAGCGAAGTTGAAGTTGAACAGCCAATGTTTGGAGCTAATTATATCAAAGGTAAATGCCGTGCTCAACCAAACGGCAATTGGATTGGAGAATGTAAATTCAAATTGCACTTCAAAAGTGGTGGTGCTATAGAGTTTGGGCAAGCCATGTTAAGAGCTGCATCGATTGGTATGTCTATTGTACTTATACATAAAGAGAAAGAATAGTACTTGTTTAACCCACAAAAGTTTATTTCTTTTTGTAGTATATATACAGTTTTTATATTTTTTTCTAGCTCAACGTAATGGGCCTGGAGCTGATGCGCCACCACCTTATCAACCACCAACATCAAGTTGGTATGCTGCACCACCACCTGCTTATCAAGCTGCTCCAACTGGGTACTATGGCTGGGTACCACCTACAAATGTATTTCCAGATATGCCACCAGGTTAATAACTAACTTACTGACTACTTATAAAGCAAGCTTGTTCAGTTAGTAAAATGCCATTGTTTCTAATTCCTTTATTTATGTATACAGCAAACAGCGTATTTATGACGGATATGCCACCTCCATACCCTGGTATAAATGCACCTTATCAAGGATACGCGACCGGTGCACCACCTCAAGGTGCATGGGGCGGTGCTGGTCAACCACCCGCGTGGTCACCACCTCAACAAAATGGTGCAGCTGGATGGTCAAATCCACATTATAATAGTCAACCAATGTCCCAAGCAGGTGCGTATCCACCCTATGGGCAACCGACTTATAATAATTATCCACAAAATCCACCACCATATTCCCAGTATCCTCAAAGTAATAATTACACCCAGCCTGGGTATTATCCTCAACAAAATCCTTACAATTCCTATCCACCTACTTATTAATTATATCAAGATTATGATAGTATACATGTTTATTATAATTTATTATAATATTTTATATATGTGCTATAAAATTATAAAATTTAATACATTTAGAAGTAATCGAACTTTTGAAAATGATTCCGCCAATCGACTATGCGATGTTACGATAAACGAAGTAGAATGTACATTTCTTTAAAATGTTTAAAGTGTAACCAAAATTATCTTGAAAATGATGCAAATACATTTATACTACTATATTCCATAATAATGTAACGTATATACATAGAATAATGAATGCTGAATCGCTTTCAAATACTTTTTTCTTGTCGTATGTATTCGCGGACAGTACGGAAAGTATTACCTGTTATTGTTATCTAATATACTAAAGTATTATATTTTCGTTGTTTTAATAGTATAATATCTTTATGACACTCATTATAATACAACGAACGTACTATGTTATTAAAATTTAGTCAAACATAACTTGCTGTTTTTATTTAAACCCACCAATTCAAAATGTGACTTTATTATAAAAATTATAAAAATCTATTTTACGAAATAACTGGATAATGATGTCACATTTTTTTATTTCATCTGGCAAACTTGAAGGTTTTAAAATTATGCAATATTGTTGCATAACAGGTTTGGTTGACCTGAAGTAAGGTTGACTTTCACTATGGCTCAGTTATTATCTCATAGTTGTCAGAGATAGTTCAAAAATACGTGAAGTGTTATTATGAGTTCTTGACCAGTTTTAATCGATTTATTGACTTATTGTGTACAGTAAAAGAGTGCATAAAATTGTTATCTTTGTATCATTTTTCATAAAATAGATGAAAAATTATATTTTCAGTGTAACCAATGAATGACTCAATCAAAGTATGCTATGACAAAGTACTATTACTGGTAATAGCAGCAAAAATCGTAAAGATTATATGATCTTATTAAATTTTCAGAATATTTATCTTCAAATTTATATTAAAATTGCTCCATCTTATAATTCTGCTTCATGGACAAATTATTTGACAACACTAAAACTTGATCAAATACCAATAACATTCATTTCGAGAAACAATCGAATTATAAAATATTAAAGTAATTAATTTGTTTAAATTAATCCCTCTGACAAGAAAATGCCAGATCATTTTAAATTTGCTGCATCAAATATATACATATGTATGTTACTTGTCACAACTTTAAACATATTTACAATTAAAAATTGATCATTTTAACTTCATCAATGTGTTATATTTGTTTTTCTTCTGCAGATGCAAAAGCAGCAGAAGCTGCTCAAAGTGCATATTATGATCCAAGCAGACCACAATGTGCCTATGTTCCACCTCCTGCATACTATGTACGTGTAACATTTATTAAATAATTCGTAATTTTTATCTTGAGGCTATAATCTTAATATGTTTTAGGAAAGTCCGCCAAGTTTCCAGCAAGCAACGGAAAAAAAGGATCAGTAAAATTACAGTAATGAATTCTAAAAACAGTGGTGTAATGCCAACACTATTGCTGTCTGAATAGTATTATATGTATAATATACTGCATAGTAACAGGTATATGCATTCCATTTTAGGTTTTGCTCTAATGTCATTTCGGTGTGTGCATTTGAATAAAATAATATTTCTATCTTTCATATATTATTCACACTTTTGAATATTTACACTATATTGTACTGTTATGCTTCAAAATACGCAAGTATTTATACTTATTGTGTAGATTGTACAAATATTCTATAAAAAAAATTCTATTGTTTCTTGTGCAATTAAATGAATATATAAAATAAAAGTTACTGCATACAAGCATGAAAAAAAATCACTCGTATCGAAATGTTATCTATATTCAAACATTTTATTAATTATAAAAGGTACATAATATATGTACATATACATACATATATAAGAAAATAAATAATAGATAGTATCGCATAAAATTTATATAAAATTTAAATAGACAAAATATATTCAAACATATGCATTTTTTCATTGGAGGTACAATAGCGTACTTCCAAAATTTAAATACGTGTATATAAAAATAATTTTCGATTGCGTAATAATCACCTACATTAAAGGCAGTTGGTTTCATATTACATTATTATTTCGACTAGTTTTTCTCTGTGGCAAAAATGGCACGTACGATGATTCGCGTGTATTTAAAAATTTTATACTATTCGATAGTTCATAATAATTCAGTTAAACAGGCAGTGTAAAATATTACAATATTCATTATTGTATAAATATATCGTAAGTATCAGTAAATATGTAACTTTCACTAAAAATGGCACCAATATATATCGTATTTTGAACAAATTTCTTAAGAGAGTAATTTAATACTTAAATGCTGAAAGCAAGACAGTGTTTTCCGATCGTACTATCTAAAAATATTCAACTGCATGGAATGCTATTTGTGCAGTCTGTAAAAGTGTATAAATCATACAACTATGTATCCATATGCAATACATAAAAATCTAGCCATACTCAGAGGTGACTGTTAAACTGATATTTCCGTCTATAACATAAGTGCCATGATACCAAATTCTTGTATCTAAAAGTACAATGTCTCCAGCGTGAACGGTGAAATTAAAACGTGTACAAATATGATCGCATTCTGGAGTCGGAGCGACGGTCCACGTTTTATTGCCTATAATTTGTCCTTGCCACATGAGACGCGAGATGTAGTCCAGCTGTTGGCAAAAAAAAATAATGAACCAAATAACAATGTAAGTATGGGTATAGATTTGTTACAGTTCTGGTACATACATGCATAATGGCACCTTCCTCATATCCCAGAAAAACATAATTAGTATAAGGGACTTCTGCATCTTCTGGCAAAAAATGAGGTAGATAGTAAAATTGTCTCATAATATCCAAAATTTGAAGGTGACAATTTTTCCAACCAACATACCACGGCTCTGTTCCATTATGTTGCATAGCTCTGTCTTCGCTCATCGCAAAAACATCGCGTAAATTAGTGAAATTACTTTTGAAATGCAAAAATTGGCATTCATCTACCGCATCATAAGCACCATCGATAGTTTCATACAAATTTTTGAAGAATTTCCAACTAAATACCTTCGAGGCTGGCCAGTGACTTGCAGCATTTTTTATCACCATAGGTTGAGAAGAATAAGCATACTGTTTAAATTCTTCTCTGGTTAAATTTGGCAAAATCAATGCTGAAGTAATATTACAACAATAATCGCAATTAGATATTGGCCTTGTAAATTCCCATATGAGATAATTGTTTGGTATTAAACACCTTGTTCCACGAAAGCTTCTCATTGCATCAATATACAGATATTTAAAGAGTATACTACAGAATAGTGGCACAAATAAAATAAGAAAAAACTTTTTTGAGCAGATATGTGAAAGGAAGCTTCTTGTATGTTTTCCATTATTTTCTATGCTAGTAGATTTAAGATCTGATAGAGATGCACCTTGCTCCAAAAAGCTTTCAGTTAGTAAAAAAAATGCTTCTTGTATTTTTTCTAAAGTTTTTTCTCTTTCTTCCATTACTAGTAATACTGGCAATTACTAAAGAATTAGGTTAAAGTATCCATTGATATTTATACTCTAGTGTTTCAAAATTCTATGTTAATATTGTTGTCATCAGTGTCAATAACATTTCATCATTGCTACTTGTTGATTCATCTACTAACTATCGTATAGTTTCGAAAGATGCTCACAACTCAGCTTAGTAACATCATAATTCTTATGTCAGTGTAATGTTTAATGTAATATATAGTTTTTACATCAACTTAAATGGATTTAAGTTTTCTTTTTACACTTCACTCAGTCTGACGACTTTACTCGTTATTTTCTTCGAGTGTAGACTTCGTACGGCAAGAAAATGCTCGATTGCTTTAAAAATATTCATCGTGTGTCGTCTAAATGCATATTCATGTTGGAATTAGCTGGTATTAGCAAGTGAACGTACATATGTTCCATTGTTATTTGCCGACGCAACAGTTATGACATAAATACAGCCTTCTCCAAGCGTTTAACTGTGTGTGTTTATGTCACTATACCTTACCCACGCACGCACACACTTCTACACTGTATTAAACCTTGAACCACTTATGTTTCTTCGAAATGTGAAGGTTGCATAGATTGCACAACAGATACTATCATCCTCTGATTGGTGCGAAATCCTGTATCTCTTCCTAACAATTTTTGTATCTTCTTCTTACATGGAGCGAACGAAAGCTTAAAGGTCCGCTCGCTCTCGTCTCGAAGTATGAAGTAATTTAATACCCTAATAGGAAGTTTCCTGTTCACGTGGCGACAAATGTAGGGTAATACAAGGCGTAACGCAATTTATGCGAACGAAATGCAAAAGTAAAATTTGAAATACCATTTTAAGCATTAGATGCTAAAGCAAATGAAAATAAAATAATATTTTAGAAGTGTTACTTGGGTAACAGAAATGTACAATAATGCAGATAACATGTACGATAAAGCGGATGTAAAAATAAAATTAAATAAAAAATATTATCTATACATTTCACGTAATCGCTGCATGGAAACAAAGAAAGTCGACACAATAGAGAAGTCTTAAAATTGTTTATTTTATCAAATCACACAACATGATGTACAAGTCATATTTAAACGGACATTGAAATTGATCTTCAATGTGCAAATTGCAGTTATGAATTCCATGTAGATATTACGGTAGATAAATTTGATTTGTCGTTTTATCGTAACTCCGATTTAGTTATATACGTTACATAGTATAAAACCTAATTTACAGCAGTTATAATACTAAAAGTATGCAATATTAACTTGCTTACGCTCGTCGAGATATGAAGTTTCGAGTCCATTCGAACTTCTAATTCCGTGACGGCTCTTTTCCTTGACAATTTATTCCTTTATGTAGGCCAATGTTAATGTATTTAATTTGGTAACAAATTCGTTGTTTTATTATCGAACAATATTCTGATGAATTTTTTTTCAATATTGACTTAGCTTACTACAATCCGACCAATACTTATAATTCGTACTTTTTTATTTTTTGATTGAGGGAGACATAATAGAGATAAATTCTTTTCAAAGCATAACATTTAAGAGAACTGCTTCAATGTTAAATATAAATTATTATCGTAATAAAGTTGTAGACATTATATGAATACTTGAACTATTATCGTTTATTCTTTAATATCGATAAATGTGGCAAAAAGTTGAATTATTTCTCGACGAACTTCAAAAGATTGTAAATGCAACATCATAACTTCTTTCTTCGCTTCTTCCTATAAATGTAATTTTACAAAAATTTCATTTTTCTTTTTTTAAAAAGGTTTACATGTTCCTATTTAAATAAACAGAAGAGATAAAATTCTTTGATCTGTTCATTTAAACAATAACTTTACCTATAAAGTAACAAGTGTATTTTTAACATAAATGTATTTTTTAGAGTTAAAAAACTTATTATATTTACAAGTCTTTTACAGAATATAAATCAATGAAATTATTATTATAATTACCATATTATCTCAATGTATAAAAAGATTTCGATAGTTTTGAAATCACAATATTGTGCAAATATTTTACCGTCGTAAAATGAGCTTTCGAAAAGCAAACACGTCAATTTTATAAAATGACTGCCATCATTTTCAACAAAATTAAACATTATTTATCTAAAAAAATTTCTTAACAGAATACTTTTATTAGGACACATCGGTTATAATCCAACGCAAAATAAGTTATTACTTACTGTTAAAAGTGTGTGACTAGCACAGTCGTGTTTGTATCAATGCTTACACCTGATTACACTTTGCTTTCGTAGAGACAGACATTTCCATCAGCAATTGATCAGAAGTAGCACCACTTGCCAAGAATAGCATCTTTTATAGCCGATATGTATTGTGCAGGAACCCAATATATCCAATATCTCGACGCCTCTGTTGTGCCCAGTTGTATAGCCTATGATTTTTATGTTCATTTAAATGCATATATGTACGAAATAACAAAATAAACAGTGCGAAAATACACACCATAATATGGTACTCCGGATGATCATGTATAGCTTCACTGTGTACACCTTTTATGGAATTCATTGGTATTTTGTCAGTTCTTTCTCTTGTACCAATCCAAAGCTGATCTTGTTCCAATTTAAATGTTAATCTAACTTTGCCACCAGATTTATTTAACATGCCAAACAATGGAAAGTCGGGTAGAGGCTCCTAAATTTTTATTTATTAATTTAGTCTAGATTACATTGATTAATTAATTAAATCAGGAATTTAAAACTCATACCTTGCTACCTACTAAACCAGGCATAACATCTTCTGGAACACCTTTATCTAAAACTTTCCTATGCAATTTCTGTTGAGACCATGGCTCTTTGTCTGAAGAGGAAGCAGCTTCATCTGAGAGATCTTGCTTTGTTGGAATTGATACAGCTAACACATCATCTAACTTTGATCCTACTACCATGACTTTGGCACCTTAAAAATATGATACAATATTATATGAAAGAACCATGTAAAAAAATAGAACTGATTATGTCCTGTGTTTGGAAAATTACCTTTTGTAACACCCAGATTTCTAAGGGTTTGTTCATCTTTGGCTAATCCTTTGATCATAACTTTCTGCATAGCTTGTGGTACAGATATGATGTTTTGAAGGTGAGCTTTTAATTCCGCAACTGTACCATCAAGTGGAAAATTGATGTTAATCCGCTGTTTATTATAAATCACTTTAAAGTCTATATTCTCTCTAGGTGGATCTTGCGAGATTGTTACTGTGTCATCGTTTGGTTGTACATCTGAAACTTCGCATTTTGATGTGGTGTCTTTTGTTTCTATGGATGAATTTTCATTAGAATTTGTATTTGATACTAATTCAGGACAAGGAGTTACATTACAACAATTGTCGTTGCTTTCATCCTTTGCAGCATCTGAAAAATATAAAAAAAAATATATGCACAATATTTACAGTTCTGTTCCGACTTACAAGGTACTTTTTTCTACTGAAAAATAATAATTTTTTTTTATATTGTTACGACAGATACTCAATATGCAGAGATCTGTCAAAATTTAAGGAAAAATTTTACAAACAGATTAGATAAGGTTATGTTCAAAACGATACGTGTCTGAGATTTACTGATGATTCTTATGCAGATTTATTAACACATTGTGTTTAATGTAAATAAAAAATAGATGTAGAGATGGTTTTCAGAAAGATAATGATCGTTTTTAAGAAGTTAATTCAACGTATGCAACTGTTATTTATAATATTTCATAACAGGATTATTTCGGGTGACAAATATTCGTTAGATTCGTAATAATTAAAAACAGACACACGAATAATGATAAAAAATATTTATTGATTCACAATTGTTACTAAAAAGCATGAAAAATCGCCAAGATTTAGTGTACGTACCCACGTACTCCATGATGAACTGTATTTCGTTGACCAATCAAAACTATTGCAAGATGCGTGTAATTTCTGCCATTCGTATTTACAGCAATCCTCAGAATGACTTTCAAATTTTCAAATATATTTTCGAAAAAAGGTGATACTTCTCTTTTTATTCAAATCGATATGAATCAGTATATTAAAATGATCTGAGGGTTATAACTTGATACAAATCAGAATGATAACTGAAAGGTTGACGGGTGCATGCAAGTGGCAAGTGCATGTAATAAATTATTCTGTTGTAAAAATGAAGTTGTAGATAATATTGAATTCTTTAGTTATAGAATAAAATGTACAGGACGAAATTTATGACTTTCAAACGCGTGCAACATGAGTATCGTTAGATTTGATTAAACTCTGTTTGATATGCTGAATCGTTTAAATTTATCAGCATTGAACAAAATCGTGGTTTATTTGTTGTTCATTTTGCAACGATTCTTGTGACTTTTCCGTCAATTTTAGTATGAATATGTTCAAACATGTACTGAAATTGTAAAAACAAAGAAAAAACCTTATGTTATTAAACGAACGATATTATACAGGATGTCCCAAAAATGTTGTAAAACATTGAAAGGGGTGGCTTCGTTGAGGAGATATTAACGGAAAACATTGACCAATCAGAGCGCGCGTATACCGTTGGAGCGGCTGTGGTAGCGAAGGCTACAAGCTAAGCGGCCGCGCTTGTATGCGAACAAGCGACTCGACGTGCATCGAAGGACATTGGACGTGGCCGCTTAGCTCGTAGCCTTCGCTCTCGCGGGCGCTCCAGCAGTATACGCGCCCTCTGATTGGTCAGTGTTTTCCGTTAATATCTCCTCAACGAAGCCTCGGACAACATTTTCGCTAAGGAAAAAGTTGTTTCAAATTACCCCCCGTGTTACAAAATGTGTTACAACATTTTTGGGACACCCTGTATATTCAAAAGAAAAAGCGTAAGCGAAGTCTTTCCTTCGCTCGCTGCACTTTCGTAGAAATAGAAATGTCTAACTCAGAATATACATAAAATGTAATAGCCTAATTAGAGTGTAAAGGATTAATTGCTGATTGAGCATCAAAATGATTAGTTATCAGTTATTGGTAAGGAAGAATGCAACATTGTGCATTCGAACAGCGTGAGGTGGCATTGTGATCACAGATCGCCATCTTGTGCACCACATGACCTCGTTGCCGTGTCCCGTGACCAGCTCACGTGAATTTTGACAAATTCAAACGTTTTCGGTAGAAAAGAAATGGATATATTGGAGCAGCACCTCGAACAACAGGATGTCAGGTAGTGTTTATGTTAAATATCGACTGGCTGATAATGCGAACACCTATCCCTCCTGTTTCGCTCGAGGTCTCCTCAAGGTCACCACGTAGTGCACAGTGCGCACTTACAAGACTTAGGACAACGGTCGTGGAAGTAATAGGCATAGACGTAATTCTATAGATACGTTACATATCCATTCTTCAACGTACCTACGCTTGTTTTACAGCACTGTTAACGCGAAGGATGACGGCGGCACGGGAATTGTTATCGAAGAAGCGGAAATCGTTGACTGCGAAGGTAAATACCACTGATACTCCAAAAACAAGTATAATCGAGAAAATTACATACGTGTTTCATGTCTTGGTTATGATAAATAAATGTTATGTATGAGGAGTATATTTGTGTGATTTGATTTAATTCAATCGCTGTGTGTATCAGGAGATATTGCGAATCTTTTACAGGGGAAAATGTTGGAGAAGATGGACTGCGGTATCAAGAAGCTCTTGCATATAGAGTAGTCCAAGTAAATGGCTCTACTGCTGGTAATGAAATAGAATTGCCAGTTACCCAACCAAATAATACTGTACAGGTCTTAACATCCCCGTTAAATGGCCAGTTTTATGTTATCGGAAATGCTAATGATGTTTTCACCACTGCGCAAACTTCTAGATCTCTGGTTCCTAGAACCACCACTTTACAAATAGAAACACCAAGAAATTGTACTACAGGATTGAAGAAGGTATAAATCCTTACTCTTTCCTTTAAAATTTATGTTTGAATTTGAGTTTCAGGTGTTTTATATTTCATTCTATATTTTAGAGAGACGACAGACGGAGGGCGACCCATAATGAAGTTGAACGCAGACGAAGAGATAAAATAAATAATTGGATTGCAAAGTTGGGAAAAATCATCCCTGAGTGCAATGCTACATCGGCCACTAATGGAAGCGGTAGCAGTGGTGAAGGGAAAGCAAATTATGAAACTCAGGTAGCAAATCAAATTTCTGGTAAAATTTGTGTTAAAAGTTTATAAACATTGAAATGTACATATTAATGGTTTATTCAGAGCAAAGGAGGAATTTTGGCGAAAGCGTGCGAATATATAGGAGAATTGCGAGCGGCTAACCAAGGACTGGGCCAGTGTTTGCGAGACAATGAAAAATTACGACAAGAAATATCCTCTTTGAAGCAACTTGTTGCACAGTTGAAACGTGAGAATCTTCAACTCAGGACACAAATAACATCTACCACAGGAAATAACGTTGATGTTATTCATCTGAGTCCTTAAAGAATTGTTAGTTTACGACACAGTGCTTCTTTTTGTAAATATTAGAAAACGTAAGCTGACCGACCGGCTAGACGAAGTATTTACTCTTATATTTTTTGTTTTCATGCGAGCCACATCAAATTTCGTCGTATTGGAATTACATTCTTCAAGGTGTATAACAAATGGTCCTAATGGTATGGTCATAACTGCATTTTCAACGATTGCATCCATATATATTTTTATGTCTATCAAGTATTTAACGATCCAAAAAAAGAATAGCATAATCAATTTTGTGCCTAAAATATCATTCTATAATTCTTGCAATAAGTTTTAAACATCTGTTGTAAATAATATTGATCTTTTCCTCTTACGAAAAGATCGATCGCAGAGCTCCGAATTTTACATTCTTAATGCTACATTTGTACGATTGATCGATATATCTTAAGTGCAATTTTATACTTCGCTATCGTAGTGATCGAAAAAGTATGAAGTCGATATTATTGAAGTTACGACTATTCCTCGTAGGACCCGCTAAAACTGATTTTATTTCTGTATATGAACGAGCCAAGGCTGTGAATATTGAACATTGATTTGAAATTTTTCGGAATATAAAATTTTAAATTATGCAGATGAAGTTAATTTAAAAAGAAAAATGTTTTGTTATAACACGATCGATGAAATTGCGATACGAAATATGACGACTGAATCATTAGAGATCGTTAAATATTTTTTATTTTTAATACTGTTTTCACGAGTGTAGAGTAGGTACTTCATGAAAATGAACTAGGAACTGAGAATGTAAAATAGATTAATCGTACACGTATGGATGTGTATGTATATTTATATATGTATATATACACGTATGTGTACATATACATATACGTATGCATATAGCAATAAACATATTTTTTTCAACCAGAGGTTTCGAACGCAATCAAAACGCGTCGGAATCATTGAAAAATTAAGTACTGGTTTGTAATATATCGTTGATGTATATATACCGCGAAGTTATTGTTATATAATAATATTATTATTAAAATGAAATTGAATGAAACCTAATGTTATTTTTACTTTAATAACGATCCTTTTTTTAATGCATAGTCTTTATTCGTTTTTACATATGGTACAATGGAAATGTCGAGAAGTTATTGGAACACTGTTTGAGATGCATCTTTTTCTGTACTTTCTTTTAACGATAAAAGACCCTGCACCTTAACAGTTTAACATTTTGACACTTTTATTAAACTTTCAGACCATTTTACAACGTTTTAACGTTTAAAATAACATCTACTTTTATGTAACGTCTGCATTCGTCGCTTAACACGTTTACATAATACACTATTATAATACAATATTTAATACTCTTTAATCGAAGTTCCGTTCTTTGTAAAAAGCTACCATATCATCCCATACCACAACAAAAATATAGTTGACCGTTAACTGTTTTTTTTTCCTAGGAAAAACAACGTATAAGGATGAATGGAAAGCTTCTTACGATGCTTTTACTCTTACATACATACAAACGTTCCTCTGTTGAAAGCTTTTCCTAGTTATCTCGATTTTGGCCAAATAAATTGACCGGAAGCTTGATTATTTTCCAGGAAACTTATTTTTCCTATCAATTCAAATTAATTACATAGAATTTCATTCCAAAGTTCAGAACTTATTATAGCAGTTAACATATGTGTAGCAGCTGGAAACGCATTTAAGGTCGTCCTATTTTATTCTTTTAGCCATCACACATTATCTTCTGTTAAATATTAGTTAATACACGTACAGTTATAGCAGATTTTATATTTGTAACTCTTTATGTACAATTGTTTTTTTTTTAAACTATTGAAACTAATGTAATAGCTTTATGTGCGATACGTGATTATGAATGCCTGTTATACATAAACTCCTCTCCAGGATATTCAGGACTTCCTTAAATGACCAGCATAAGATTCCTGAACGTTTACATGGAGAAATTATATTCATATGAATGCATCTGATAATTAATCTTCCAGATTTCTAAACGCCTGTTGGATATCTTCGTGTAACTGATCGAAGTCAGCTCTAATTTTCCCTTCGCCATCTTTTACCGGGTCCTGAAATAAATAAGAATATCTTACGTAAATCTTGCGGTCCAATTTTAAATACATTCGTAAAATGCTACTCTTGAACAATAATATTTACCTTGAATTTCATGGAACTCAATTGGTACAGAATGTTACCCATGCTATCTCTGATAACATTCCACGTTATTTTATTGTCAGATTGCGCTGTGGACTCCACTGCATGCCTCGCCATATCATAGAAAGCGATCATGTTTCGCAACATTCCCACAGTTTTATAAAATGGACAGAAACGATCATATGACGAATAACTGCGAAGAATCAATGTTAAATATGAAAGACTTAAAATGCGTCAATATACGACAAATAACTCTCGTACCTGTTCTGTTGTAAGAAATCGTCTTTCAGCAGTTTCGCAACCTCCAACGTAATTTTGTCTGTCTCAGCGAGGGAAGCTTTACCAACTAACTGTACAATCTCGGACAAATCCTCCTCTTCTTGCAGAATCTCTTTTACTTTCGTTCTCAGAGGAACAAACTCTTGGAAGTTTTTGTCATAGAAATCGTCTAACGCTCGCAGATATTTACTGTACGATATAAGCCAGTTGATGGA